TTTTAAACATGCCACATCGTCTCTTTCACTACTAAAATTTTTATGATTCCTTAAATGAGTTTTCTAACCATAGTTTCTTAATTTTTAAACATGTTTTTTTATTATCATATTATGTATACCGACATTCAAAATTATTCCACCAATTTTTAAAATAATCATTCAATGTTTGCAACCATGATTCAACAAATTTTGCTGAAGATACGCTTCGTAATTTGTGTACGACAAAGAATCGTCATCGCAATATCTCAGCGTCAGAATTTGCAGTGCTTACGACCACGTTCCGATCATTTACTAGATTGCAGCAATTACATCCGGACTCGAGCAGCCCCCGACTGGTCTATAACATTCACTTTAAATTTGGCCAACTCGCGCAGCAGAGCTCGGGAAAGCGTCTAACGACCAACACGCTCATTTGAACGCGAACTAATTGATAACAACCGTCATGTGAAATGCATTGGATGTCTTGACTGGTTCGAATCAATTGATAACAACCGTTATGTGAAATGCATTGGATGTCATGACTGGTTCTGATTCAAACTAATTGATAACAACTGTATGTGAAATGCATTGGAAGTCTTAACTGGTTCAAAATAATTGAAAACAACCGTCATGTGAAATGTATTGAATGCCTTGACTGGTTCAAACTAATTGATAACAGCCGTCATGTGAAATTCATTGGACGTCTTGACTGGTTCAAACTGATTGATAACAACCGTCAAGTGAAATGCATTGGAAGTCTTGACTGGTTCAAACTAATTGATAACAACCGTCATGTGAAATGCATTGGATGTCTTGACTGGTTCAAACTGATTGATAACAACCGTCAAGTGAAATGCATTGGAAGTCTTGACTGGTTCAAACTAATTGATAACAACCGTCATGTGAAATGCATTGCACGCCGTGTCTGGTAGCCAAATCGATAACATTAATGACGTGAAATGCATTGGTTATGTGAACTTTTGAAATGATAGATTGGCAACTCGATGGCAATTTACGAGTATAACGTATCTTTTGTCGCTGTGAATTGTCATTGTCAACAATTTAAAAGCATTTATTGACCAAGCATAGACACATTCGTAAGGACAGAGCATCAGCAAAAGGTGCGTGGTATCCGGAATGCTGTTCCTTAATCTGGAAATATAACAAATCTGGAAATATACATACATCTTTAAGCTGAGCTGTGATTAATTAGTTAGCAGAAAATGATCAGAGAATGAACATCATAAGTTTCGTTGAAAGTTGAGGGATGGCCACTGATTCTATGATAATAATTTTAAAATTAATATCCCATTCAAAATATATATACGTCATAGCGAGAGTTTCAATAGTGAAAAGAAAATGAAGGATTATTGTGTAAATATAGGAAAATGATGCTTTGACTCACTTGACAGTGGTATTTATGACTAGCTAAGTCCAAATTCAACCACGAAAATCAAGCCGTTTTCATACTGGATTTCTAGCTTGAAATCCCTGTCAATGTACTCTGGCTTGAAATTGCTTTCTCAACGTACAATGATGAACTTAAACATTGTAACTTATGAAATCTCATCTCGCATTTTAACAGCTCTAAAATTCTGACTTATGGAAGGAGAAAACTTCCGAAAAGTTTTTTTTTAATTATGCATGATAATTTGCAGGATATACCACCAAGAAAAAACAAATTACTTTGATAATTTATTAGACATTATTTTTTCTGCTTTCCAATAAATTAATATTTCTTTATCTACGGAAACTACCAAACTAACCGTAATAGCTCACCCCTCGTTTTTAATCATCAGTCCAGAAAAATCTCGGCATTGTCACCACTATGACAAGAAGCCCGTCTGAATATGAAAGACTGTCTTTTCAGCAGGCGTCAAATAACGAAGCATCAGCGACATGACTCCTAAAATAACCGTCAAAAATATTCTTGGAAATTTATTTTTATTTATTTTATTATTTTTGTTACAAAGTATTCTTACCACCTGACATACTTTTCAATTTTTGATGGCTACAGGAGAGACTTGGCTAAACATTCACTCACTGAACCAAAAATGGCCGAAGAATCAAAACGTGTCACTTGATTACCTGAGGAGTAAGTTGGCCGACAACCACGATTCGCAATGCCATTCAGAATGCAAGAATCTTTTGATTGTGGAAAATATTCAATTAATTTTAGTTTATTTGAGAGGAGCTTGAAAATTCGTTAAAACAATTATGGGTACTTCGGTCAAATTTAATGGAAGAAGATGAAAATAACCGCAACGGCGCTGCAACTTGGAAAAAAATATAACTCAGTACTCACTGCAGTGAGTGACAGAGAGCGCATTTTCTCGTCGACGAAATCGTGAAATCACGGACGGACAGACAGACGGACAGACAGACGGACGGACATGACGAGCACAATAGGGCATTTTTCCATAAATGAGAAAATGCGGTAAAAAGAAACTTTCATCTAAGTGAACATAATATAATTCTCTGAAGCTACTCATCGATAATATATGTAGTTGGGAGATACGAATGAAAATATTTTATGTTACAACTACGATGCCATTCAACAAATCATAATAGCAAATTAGTTTTTAATTTATGTTCTGTGCCTGATTCTTTCAATCTAGCATTTTTCATGCCCCATGAAAACTTCACGCGCTCGCACTGCTTTCTTAAACACATTGTACATTCCACCAAGTCGAGCATCCCTAACTCGGGTGGTTTTTCTCTGTGTAGTCCGGTTGCTTCAACTTCAACCCACTTAAGAAGAATGAAGTATTAAGCAAGACGAAAGTTTTCGCTACATCACTCTCGCATTATTCTTACAGATGAAATTTCCACGTTGCTCGGAGGCCAGAAACGAAAGGGGCTTTTCTCTTTTCCTTAAGTTGGATCCAACATGAAGGCCGGCATAGCTCAAGTTTTTAACTCAATTCATCAGACAGCCGCGCCTAAACTAGCGAATCTTCGCCATGTTGTTCGCTGCTTAAAATCTCTTCATTTCGCAAGCCACTAAAAAAAACAGCTGTGATAGAGTAGAAAAAGTGTTATGAGTAAGCACATCGTTTGTGCTTTGCTAACTCTAAAATGATTGCTAGAATTCAAGAACTTATTCAATTTGCACTGTTGATGTTGTGGACCTGAGCACTAACGATATATTGATGAATTTCACAGTGAGATATCGTTGAAATTTAAAGTTCAAATTTCCGAGATGATTAATTGAAAAATGGGACTTGAATCGGAAGTTAATTATTTCTTATCTAGAAGGCAGAAAAATTATGAAAGACAACACGACGATGCTTCTGTAATTTAGAATGTTTATGCCGCTGCAACCTCAGAAAAAAGCAACTGGGTTTCATTTATGTTATTAATGAAATATTCCTTCAACTTATCTTCCAATAATAGTTGAATTGAAGACTACGGCACTTATTACTTTTTTCGCTTTTAATACATTTCTGTTGCATCGAACTTAGAAATATAAACAGAATATCAATAATCGTAGACATTTCATGATTTTCTTGGTGAAAAATGACAAAAATTCGATGGTTGAAAGTCGATGATTGAATTAAGATTTTTCAAAAGGGGTAAATATTAAATAACGCTTTCGGTAAGGAAAGAAAATGATCTACGTGCGCGTGAACAGAACAATTTTTTGAGGTTGTTAGGAGCGAGGATTCAATTATTCTGACCGATTTTAATGGACATTTTCAATTTTGCGTTAAACAATTCTCTAAAATTACCGTGCGGTCTGAATAATGATCATATTTATATTTGAAGATCAGAATTGTACGTTGAATAAGTTCCGTAGCCTGGATGCCATGCGAATTTATTTTAATATAAAGTTCTTCTCTGTCTTAATTGGCTGTCAATGTTATCGAATAAATTATTTATTTACCGATTCATTTATTTAAAGACACATTAGGTAATTCATACACATGAGTTACATCCGCTGTAGAAGGTTGCTTAGAAAAATCGCAAGTAATTTTATGTTTACCTATGCTTTCGCCACCGTGAGAAAATGAAGCATTTCCACGGTTAAAAATTTAAGTTATATCCTAAAAAATTCCGATAGTGAATATTCAACATATATTTCACGTCTTGGAATAAATGCATAGTATTTATCTTGGTTTCCACGATTTGAATTAGTTAGCACTAAAATGAATTATTAACCGATGCTAAGTCAACTGATTGAGTTGCCACCTATTATACGCCTGTAATTAACCAATACTTATTAGTTTTGCTCAAGGACAGAGCTTGTAACAGCGATAAATTACGAAAGTTGACGACAAAATTCCTAAACGCAGGACTTTCATCGCAAAGATGAAATCGTTTCTCATTCTCGAAATCATTCTGTATCGTTTTAATTTTTATCTCACAGACAAAAATATGACGCTGGCCACTATTTCAGGGAAATTTTCCTGATGATCTGCGTACATGTTTGAATATTTTTGTGATGTCATTCGCGGAATGATTACTTAAAATTTTACAAGTTGCATTTCAGTTGAATTCCCGAGGAACGCCAAACAAAAAAAAAATTGAACGCTTTCATTATATTATCAATTATTTCTTTTATTAAATGCACATCATTTTCTGAACAACTTTGTACAGTGACAGATCTATAGTCCTCTGTACTCTGATATGATTTGCTAAATGAATTTTAACGGGTGAGTTATTTTAATGGGTGAGTATAAATACTTGCGTCTTCATAGCATCTGTGCTTATTGTTCAATTGTAGGACAAATAATTCACGTTAATAATTATTAAATTATTTCACTTGTAATTTCATTGATTCAGAGTTCCGTGTACGAGATTTAATTAAACGTGTATATCTTTTATAGTATTTATAAGGAGCACAATATGAACAGTCTAATTTTTTGCACTGACTCAAGTAAGGACAAATGTCTGAACTGACGATGATGTAAAAACTCGCGATGGTAGCGGTCATCCTTGAAAAAATCTCATGACCCTCCACAGTCGTCACCATACATAAAGCACGAGGTCAGCTGCGGCAGGGGTCAGTGTGCCTCGGATCGTCGTGAGGGTGTCATGCTCCGCTCCGCTGTGACTTCTCTAGCTTGATAAACAGACAAGAACTCGTCGGTCACAAGTCAATGTGTGCAGTGTTGATTAATTCAATTCAACGTGTGACGTTAAAACTCAATGTCTGATACTTAACTTGTGTGTTTCATCAGTCTGTGGAAATGGAGCTGATGAATGAAGACAGAATTTGATAAACTTGACGTTGAAATCCGCGTCTTTGTTGGGCAAAGATGGAAAGAAATCAAGCAGCCGTGATATTTGTATGAAGTCTTAAACTGTCCAACGTTTTTCTTATAAGGAATACATTGAATATCTGTAATAATTATACTTGTTCGTCTTCGTGGATTTAAAGGCATTTTTACGGATTAGATAACTTGGTGAAGTTATTGTTCGTTGAAAAATTAAATTACAATTTTAATGAAGATTTTTTACATTTTCACAGCTGGTCTAACAATAGGAAAAAAATTGCCCATGGTGTTTAAACATTTATACTTACCGTGAAATTATTGCGACGTTATAAAAAGTTTTCTCCTTTCAACTTTGGTTCTAACAGAAATTGAATTCCAGTGAATTGACGACCATATCTCACTTAAGTTAATGAGGACAAACTATCATGTAAATAGATAAATAACTCATGGATCATGCTGATCACATGACAAAATTTAGTGGATTTCTAGAAATACTTCTGAATATAATGCGGAGTGATATTCAGTGTTGCTCTCCTTGGAACTCAAAATTTCATTCTCGGGTGAAACTAGAACCAGCACAACTCTAGTGAAATAAAAATTTAAATTTCCGGAAGAAAAATAAAAATCAGAATCAGTCATGAGTCATGCTGTGCTGAACGGCGTGCTGTTGCTGCTGATGCTTCTCACAGGTAAGGGATTTACGGAGTAAATATTATTACGGAGTTTCAAAAAGTAAATAAATTACGGAGTAAATAAATTACGGAGTTTCAAAATATTCTAATTATCATGTAGCACGTAAATCTTTTTACAATGTTAACTTATTCTATGGTGCAGGTAATTTTACCAATTATCTACGTGCTGCACCATTCACTGTATTTATAAAAGTTAGATATGTATCATAACATTCAGACTTTCATTTTTATACTGTACTGATACAGTATTTTTATCACCAGTCTTACGTGATAAATATTTACTATAATTGTTACTATAACATAGTGAAAAATTGTTTGTGCATGCAATACATTTCTTGTATCAGAGCGGCAAAATTATTACTTTATTTATTAGTATTTTTATTGGAAACTAGATTCCTGGAAAAAGCTCGTTGATTTCAAACGTGTAAACCACCTAGTCCATCCTGAAGCTTATTTTTAAATCCCCCAATTCTTCGAAATAAGCATTTCCAGCAGCGGATAAATTAAATCCACCCAGTCTTTCCAGCAGCTTAAAGTAAGCCCACCCAGTCTTTCCAGCAGCCTAAAGTAAGTCCACCCAGTCTTTCCAGCAGCATTTCCAGCAGCTTAAAGTAGGTCCACCCAGTCTTTCCAGCAGCTTAAAGTAAGTCCACCCAGTCTTTCTGGCAGCTCAAGCGAGTCTATCAATTCCGTCTAGCAGCTTATTATCGCTGCACCAAGAATTGATTGCATCTCATTGCGTCTCGGTGTGGCCAAAAACTTGCAGAATTATTTTTATTTGAGGTGAAGTTGTCATCATCATTGAAAGGACCATTAATTATACCTTACATTAACGTAAATATCTATTGCTACAACAAGTGCTGCATTGCTAATTCTTCTGCTCTTACTGCTGCTATTGCTGCTCCAGTCGCTCCTGCTGTTGTTGCAGCTTCTGCTATTTCTGCTTCTTCTGCTCTTACTGCTTCTGTGTTTTTTAATTCTGTTACTACTACTATTACGCCGCTGCTGCTGCTGATGTTTGCTGCAGGGATTCATGCATTTAGTGGCCGTGAATTCAGCGTCGCGTTGCTCCCATAAGCGCTGAATTTCAAACGTTAAACAGTTGGATTGACGTTCAACAGCTGAAGCTGGAAAAGTAGAGCTGCAACCAGTTCGGTATTTGCAAAATTTACGATGGCATAGAAGATGTTATAGGAGAAATAACGTATTTACTGCTCATTACAAACCTGAAATAAACGATCACAAAATTGCCGTAAAAAAGATTATTCTATACCTAGACCGGTTATATCTTCTGCATCGCATTTTCTCATAACTTTTGCACGAGTCTGTGCAGCAGCTGCTGCGTTACATGCGGTTTTAATGCTGCTAATCTAACGTCTTTGAAATGCAATGTAACACACCCGAAAATCGATGCTAATTCGGAGCCTAAATGTGGCCGGAAAATGCCGCTTCTTGAGGCCAAACGCGCCCGATCCGCGGACGCCTGCGCCACTGAGTGGCCGTACACTGACTTTAGATGCGCCCCGCGTCACGCCACGCAGGCATGTAACACGTGCATCACGCCACTATACGTGGACGTCACACTTACGTCACGCCTCTCTTCATGTACGTCAGACGCACGCGATATTGCCAAACAAATCCTGCCGCCCACAGGCTAGAGTTTATTATCCTATGAAAATTTTATAATTTCTCGTTCGTCAAAGACTGCTTGAGCACATCTGTCCTGGATAAGGCAGCACTTCTGCGTTCAACATGTAATTGAACAACTGCGTATTGATTCCATTATATTAGTAAACGGAAAACGGTAAATATTCTTCGAGATTTATGAGTTTCGAGCATTATTTCTAACTGCACTGATGCTGCTGAAGTTATAAGTCATGATAGGCTCCTAGTCTCACAGCAGCTCCATGATTACACTGCAGGCGCATCATGGTCTGAACTTCAGAGAATATCATTGCATTCAGTGCAGCAATAATTATAGTGAACTTTCTACCTCAGACGATGCTTGCCAGCAACTGCTGTTAGAGCGCTTTGTTGCCTCAGATGGACAGTTGATATGAACGATTTATAGGGATGCCTCATATGGACGATTCATATGGATGAATCATATGGACGATAAATGTTGATGCCTCATGTGAACGAGTCATATGGATGCCTCATAAGGACGATTAATATTAATATCTCGAATGGACAAAATGAATTAATCATATGGATGCTAAATGTTAATGCATCATATTGACGAGTCACATGTATGCTTAATATTGATGCCTCATTCGCATGCTAATATGGATGCTCCATATGGACTAGTCATATGGGTGCTTATAATTGATGCTTCATTCGGGTGCTTAATATGGATGCTCCATATGGACTGCTGCTGACAGCGAACTCCATGCGTTTTATTCAAGCGCGGCCGCACCGATGCATTAATAAATTCTTGGTCTCGCGCTTCCCCCAGCCAGACTGGAGCGCATGCTTTATGTATTATTAGGGTCTTAGTGTCATGGCTTCAGGAGGCTTTCATACGCCAAATTCTTGACATGCGTATGATTTTTGACTTGCTGCTGTGATTTTTGTTTTAGTAAAACATCTTTTGTTTTTGCTAAAATGGCATTTGTCGTGAATGGTAAACACATACATGACGGGAACAACTTCTGAGTCTCGTTGTTGAGTCAACCGGATTGTAATTAATAGTTAAGAAATTTATGATTATTAAATTTCATGACTATGAAAATGAACTTCGTAATTAGCTCCACTGCCGGGCAATAATATGATATGCATCGCTACTGGAAGAAGTCCTTCATTACTGAAATGTAAGGCATTTTCCACCTACTTCCTTGAATGTCAATTAAATTTATTCCCATTCTGTGTGAACTTGTTGGTGACTCCGTGAGTTTCGAAATTTAAACGCGATCTCCACAATAATTGTTAAAGCTATTGTTTCAACATGGTTCTATCATTAGATTATAGCTGAATAGGAGAAAAAACGTTCATGCTTAGTTCCAACAATATTATTAGCAATTACCGGGACTACTTACAGAGCAAAGATTTTTGGCGTCTCGTAGTCTCGTTACGAGTAGTTGCGAGCACCGCAAGGTGCTGCCGTGCGCCTTGTTTTCGTTCCGGTCTAAAGTTATAACGCAAATTTCGAAGGCCATTTCTGTGTTTTCTATTCACGTTCAGGTGGTGTTTTGCTCCATAAAATAAATACCATTTTACATCTTATGGCTGGAAAGGCTGCTAGAACTCCTAGGCCTGTTGGGTCGGCTCATTAAAAGAAACTTGGCCGGCACATTTACATTGGATTATTTAAAGTAAGCTTCATCGAAACCGATAATAAATTGTGAGTCAGCTTATTTCAATGTGCTACTTCAAATTTAATAAACCATTATAGTTTCTCGCTCTTATATTATTTAATTTTTAACACTCAGAACGATTTATATAATCTGGCATTTCAATTCCGCAGTCACGGTTTAAACTTTATTTTAAGAATCTCTCATTCACTCAAACCAAAAAATTCAATACAAAATATTCATTAAAATGTTGCAAATTTAGGCATATTTTTTATCTCCACCTTATGTAAGATGCTCAACAATTAACGTCTCACGCTGGTAAACAAAAGGCGTGTCAAGAGCGTCTCCCGACGCACCGATGTCGGCTGCTACATCAGCGCGATGCTCGTACGAGGAAACTTGACTTGCGCTCGATCGAGTCTCAAGTTTGCTGCTTATCTAAATGCCCGACCCACTAACTTGTTCTCCAACTTCCGCTGGTTGGGTGATGCGGCGTAGTGCACCACGACTCTGCAGCCTCCACAGTGCGTGGTGCACCACGACTCTGCAGCCTCCACAGTGCGTAGTGCCGTAAATGCCAGTTTTTACAGCTTGCTGCGTGTGATGTATGCGGATATAGCGGGAAGATACGCGGAAAAATTCGTTGCAGAGAACAACATTCAGCAGATAGAATGATGTGTTTCGGCATTTCAAACATAAGTGCCTAGCCTCGTGTGCAATTGACGTGACAATTTGCAACAATAATTTCATCACGTGAAAATGCAACGAGTGATAATTTTGTTCAACACTTTGTGCTTGCCGGACGTTTGGCCAACCGTGTCACTGAGTCAGCAGGACTACACAAGCCATCCAACATTGTGTTGAATATTTACTTGGCAGACAAAAACTGCAACTCTTTGCTTGACGCTTGAAGAATGCAAAGCAGTCGCCTGGCATTTCTGCGCTAATTTAAGAAAGCAACGCGAACAAAACGGCGCTGTGAACCCGACACATAACCCTTATTATTATTCTAATTACTTGAAGGGGACTGGATGGTGCTGGGTTCTGCGACGAGATGTGTGGTAATCGAAAGCTCCTCGCTCGCGATCATGTAACGTGAGGATAAAAATGTCATTTGCTGCAGCAGTTGCTCATGCTGCAAGCTTTGCATTCTCAAATAACATGACGGAAGTGAAGTTCTCTCATAATTTAGCCGCGAAATATAAATAAGTTTTGCTGCACGTTGTCATTGTGCGTTGCCGCATTGTCAAATAGATATGTCATATAATCAAACTCTAAAAGAAGGTGAAATTTAACCAAGGCAATGCATATTGCAGAGTATCTAGAATTGTACAACTAGCTAATTTTATGAGCTCAATTTGTAAATTTTCCACGCAGAATTCATCCAGTGTTGGTCTCGAACAACCATCTAAATCATTATTTATTTTTCAGTGATTGTATTTTACCTTCTACAAGTTTATCAATATATAGAGTAGATGCATGACGCTTCTACAGCGGAGAATTTATTAAAATGTTACCCTCCTTAGAATTAAGAATTCTAATACAATTCAAAGCAATTTTTGAGTCGTTGTACATGCCCGAGCACATCGTTCGTCTCATGATTTCAGGGCAACAAGAGAAGTGTTTTGAAACCTGCGTAGTAATATCAGAGGAGGCGAGTCAAAATACTTATTTGTTGATGAAACTCGCGGCATTTGCATCCATATT